ATTTATTTTCTCATGTGTGTCATGTTGCTAGTCCACCTGTCACAGCGGCTGGTGCATCCATATTTTAATCAGCTGCTTCCAGTTATGTTTCTCATCAGTAAACAGATTTTCCATATGATGATATGACCCCTAACTCCAGCAGAGCGGCTGGTAGAGTAAACTAGAAAGGTGATACAGAACTGATGATTCTAGTAGAAACGTAGCTAGAGTAGTAAGTAGTAGCATACAGGTCTCAGACAAACAGACCATAATGTCACTGCTGTGCCGCTCTGTTGTCTGTGTATTTTATCTGTGTATGTAAACATGCCGTTAGCAACGCAACAGCTTCTTCCACAAGCAGAAAATAAGCTTTGTGGCCAACACACGTTAATGATACTTCAATGTGTTGCTAAGGCGGCTAATCTCAACATATTAACACTACTTTTACAATAGTTGAAACATAGATGTAACCGGCAGACATCTAACCAAAAACACATACAAAATGTAATTGCCAAGAAGAGCTAAAACTCATTTTGGGTTTAGGACTCATTCCTGCACCGTGACCACGCTATTGGGTTAATAGTTGTATCTCCTTGTTTTAAGAAGAGTCATATTCCATAGCACAGTGAGCAGATACTGAACACCGACTTCACACACACACACACACACGCCTGCACACACCCTCAGCAGAGTAATGACTTTAACGGAAGGTTAGGACCTCTGCAGCCATGAGGCATTAATATTTTATTGGGAGATCCTGGGTGGTGCATGAATATGAGCAGGACTCTCATTCAGTATGAACCTCTCATGTATGCAGGCTGTCTCCATCAACCCACATCAGTCAAAGAAAAACTGTATAGAAACAGATCCCAAAAGACATCTATACAGACGGGGAAACACACCCGGTCAACGTATGTTCAGCTGCAAACCCACATGAGTACTGCCACTTCATCACAGACTCCACTCACAGGCATCAGCACTGAAGTCAGCAGTCAAATGCCAACGTATTCCAGCTTTAGGACTTATCCCTGCACCACTCTATTAGGTGAAGTTATATCTCCAGAAGTCAAAGGTAGTTTGAAATAAAAGTCTAAAAGAATTGGAGCACACTCACAGCCTTGATGCACATACACATTGGAGTATAACAACGTATCGTGTGATGTGTCCCTAAGCTATGGATTATTTAAATAGCTCCATAAAGAAGTGTAAAAGCAAGTGACGAAAAAGAGGGAGTTTAATCAGGTCATCGGGTGTACAGGCCAATACGGTAGTGTTTATGTTTTAGTCCTCATGTTTACATTAACATCAAGCTTCTTATGATTCAAGGCTTAGAGCTACCTGCCAGCGTGGAACTGGACTTGCTGGATTCACAGGTTTTCATTATCAAAATGTACTCTTAAGTGACTATTTATATTAAAGAAAGAAATGGAAAGTCCAATCCTGTAAGAACATTAAGGCGCTGTTTACACGAGAACGAAACGGGTTGTATCCGCTACTTTTCTCTCACGTATAGCGTATACGGAACCGCGGAAACGGACCCCGCAAACGATAACGGGTCCCAAGGTGGATAGATCTGCGGACGGAACACTCTGGGGGGCCAAACGGCTCCGTGTGTACGTCCAATACGATCATTTTCCTGATAACGATGAAGCCATAGCCCAGCCTCTCCCCGCCTCTGCCCACCTCTGCTGCTCACTGCTGTAGCATGGTCAGTAGCTACTGTCAGTAGCTACTGACCATCCTACTGATGTTAGTGCAAAATCTACAGCTCCTCTACCACAACCATCAGCAACAAGTGGACATGGAGAATTACATGAACTACATGTTGCTAAATCCACCGCGGAGAATAAACAGAAGGGCAACCAGGCAACCATGGCAACCATGCTCGGGGGTCTTCTTCGCTGCTTTTGGTGTATTTTGTGGCGGAAGTACAGCGCCACTTACAGGCCCGGCATATGTACTACAGCGTCTCCAGCGGGTCGAGCAGTCTCGTGTGAACGGACAAGTTTATTGAGCCGTATCCGTGTGAACGGAATACTTTTTTGATATCGAATTCGGTTCATTTGAGTTTCGTTTGTGTTTGCGTTCCCGTGTAAATGGGGCCCAAGAGTCCAATGTTGAGGCCTCCAGTTTCATCATGACATGCAGCACTGTAGAAAGCTCTTCAACAACTGTTTTGTATCTATTGTGTAGTTTTATAATGAATCTTTACACCTCAGACAAAATATTCACACACTCCCACAAGTCTATTCTCATATACAGACAGAGCTTTACGTCATTGCCACATTTGCACCAAACTTCTTTTCTCAATTAAAACAAAGAGAGTAGGACAAAGAGTGAAAGACCACCACGACCACACATCCTAAAGACTGTGAAACGATTATGCAGCACACATATGTAACCGCTGATTTAAATAAATAGCACAATGTGTTAAAAGTGCTTTAGATTTGACTATGCTTGATATAAGCGCTGCATAGTAGAACTTAAACTAACACCAGAAACAGAAAGCATTTGTCTGTTTTGAGACAGAAACAAAGCTATCACACACACATAAAGGTCATACACGTTGATGTAAGATTATACCAGTGCTTCATGTGACCATACTGAAGAAGTTTAACATTGCAAAATATCTCAAACTAATGGTGCAATGAATGCTATATAAAGGTTAACTCAGACAATGTGAGGCTGCATAATCAGGCTGTGTTGCAAGCATCCTAATCTGATGCTTTTTTCCTGCATGTAGGCCAAGTATGGTTACACTGAATAATACAAATGGGTTAAACAGCTCATTACCTCGAATCCTTATCAGTAACACATTTGAATGACAGTCTTAAAAGGGCAGCTGACAAATAGTCCACATTCAAACAAGTCTTGGGATGCATTTGATCAAAATGCTGATGGTTTAATCAGCTTTGTCTCCATGTCTGCAGGGTGGTTAAATAGAGAAAAAAGGATCCGAACGTGCAGAGTTAATCTTCCTGATCTCCAAAGTGTTTTATCTCAGAGTTAAATTACCTTGATCAAACTGAGCTTTTATTCAATGATCAAAACTGAGCATTTGCAGTGATCTCCACCTGATCAACAACCATTAAGTTAACCAAACAGCTAAGAGGCCTGAGTTACTGTTAGCATCAACAGGGACTGTATCATGACTGATTCCTCCAACACACACACACACACACACACACACACACACACACCACACACACCCACACACACACACACACACACACACACACACACACACACACACACACACACACACACACACACACACACACACACACACACACACACACACACACACACACACACACACACACACACACACACACACACACACACACACACACAAACACACACACACACACACACAACACACACACACCACACACACACACACACACACACACACACACACACCACACACACACACACACACACACACACACACACACACACACACACACACACACACACACACACACACACACACACACAACACACACACACACACACACACTCCCTCCCTCCCTGCCTCACATCTGCACCAGCTGATTTTTCAATAGCTGGTGTTGGGTGTGGCATACAGCTGCACACCGCTTATAGCAGTGGAACAGGGGGATGGGAGGCGGATCACCGTATCTATACATCAGCACTGCTTGTGTACCCAATATACACGCCAGCACTGTCTCACATGTAAATGCAGCCTTTGTTTGCTCCTCCCATGTCTATGCTGATGACTGAGGCTGGTTTATTGCTATGGCGTGCTGTAAAATCGGTTGAACTTTGAGCTTCCATCTTGGCAACTAAAGGCAGAAAATGTACTTTAGATATACAATGGACCAAAACAAGCGGGTTAAATCAGCAAAATGGGCAATAAGTAAGAGTACAAGCAGCGGTGCAAGTACATGTTGAAATGTAGACATTGCTTCCCATAAGCATCCTCCGAAATCCACAATAGTATTCTAATTTTCTAACTAAGATAGCTACGATTCTCACCTTAAACTCAATAGACTTCAACTTGACCTCTTTACAAGATGGATTAGATATAAACAGTATATGTAAGATGTTAATTATGGTGGCGAGAGATGACGTGGCCAATCAGCCGCTTGTCAGATGAACAGCAGCTTCTTAAGATAGACATTTAAAAACACCAACTTTATGCCATGAATATAATTTAAAAGAATATGCATGTCTAAACTCTTACAGCACAATAAATCAAAGGGAGGCCAGTACTTCAGTCTCATTCAATAGCCGCTTTCACACCAAGTACTTTGCCGTACTTAGTTCCAAGCACTTAGTTCCCAGCACTTAGTTCCCCCATGGAACTAAGAGCAGATCATGTTCACACCGGAATAAGTCCCTGAGGGAAGATTACGCAAATGAAGCCGCTGACGTCACTTCTTCTTCTTCTGCTTTGGGTTTACTGGCAGGCCGCAAACCACTTCACGGCGTATACTGCCACCCGAAGACCCCGGCCGGAAGTCCCCGGAGTTGGGGACTGGCTACTGAAGCCTTCCGAGTAAATCGCCAGAACGCCGACACCTCCTCATCACTCCAATAATGTTTTTTTTTGTGTTGACATAAGTTATTCTCTCTCCGTTGGTGTGCGGGGCTAATGCTAATGCTAATAATGCTAATGCCAGCAAATGCAATGGCGGCTTCAAAAAACGTTTCCGAGTTTCACAGAGCGTGGTTTGCAATTCGCCCAGCCAATCAGAAATTGGTACTTTTTTCTCCCCAGGATAGTACCACCTCTCTAGCAGGGACTAAAAAGGGGGTTAAAGTTCTCATGAACTAAGTTCTCTTTTTGGTGTGAACGCAAAATCCCAGGAACTATCGGAACTAAAAGGGAAAAGTACGGGGAAAAGCACCTTTTTAAGCTCAGATTATGCTAAAATTGTAAATTGCTTTGGGTGTGGTAGGACCTGATGGGTCTCTTGCAGGGTCATTGTGCATTTCAGAGGGTTAGGGTTAGGGTTAGAGACAGAACAGTATTAATAGCTGTGACTACATACCCGATCTTGGCCTTCTGTTTGTTCTTTGAGGAGGTTATGATTCGGGCCTTCCTACAGGCCTTATCTTTAGCCCGCGCCTTGCCGTTTCCTTTGTGCTCGCGCTTGCGGTGCTTGTGCTGCGAGGAAGAGCTGGGGAAGCTCTCGGGGCTCAGAACTCTGGGAATGTTCTTCTCCCCGCGCTGCCGGGCCTTAGCAATAGCCTCTGATATTATCCTATTGGCCTTCTCCTGTTTGTCCGGTGTACCCAACTCCATCTGAGCAAGCGTCCTCCGCGACGTCCTCTTCTCCGACGAGGAGCTAGACGAGGATGAAGACGACGAGGAAGAGGAGGAGGACGATGAGCTGCTCTTCATTGGGGGACTGAGGACCCGTACCTGGCTGCCGGGACCATTAGCGTTCTTTCGAGGCTGAGGAGAGAGGAAGACGAGAGAGGTTTTTAAATGTATGATCCATTTGAAGCTAATTATGACAGACAATATGTCATCTATTTATAAAGTCAAATGCTGTGCTATATGTGCTATAGCAGGACCAAGTGACACTGACACCTGTAAAGTTGACACCTGACCTTTGGAGAAGAGTTCAGTGACTGAAGCTGATGTCGTACAAAGACAAGCTTTAGCAGATTCACTCACAAAAAGAGGTCAACCAAATCAAACCGAACTGACTTAATTTAAGCAAATTAAACATTGTTCATTCAATCAGCTGCAACATGTACAGGTACAAGTCGTCAGCCACCTTCTCACTATGCATTGCATATATATAGGAAACAAATAAACCGTTTTCTTTATGTAGCCCAATATCACACATTTACTTAATGATCACAAGTAATGATATCAGAATAAAATCCATTAATTATCAAGTTGTATTTTGTATCTGATGTGAATGCATGAAGTAATTATAGAGTCATACAGCTCAGTGAACAGGTGAGTAATACAAGCAAAGCTTTACAGGAAATGGTGCAACTATCACTCATTCAGAAAAACACAACATCCTGGAGGCTGTGTGAAGCGCTCAGACAGCAGAGCTTGTTGCTGTCCCTGTCTCAGCTGCTGGGGGTGTGTGAGTGAGTGAGTGTGTGTGTGTGTGTGTGTGTGTGAGGAGAGAGGAGAGGGGAGTCGGACCTGTCTCGCTCTACAAGATGCTCACTTCAACTCTCAGCGCCCGCCCTGTGTAATTCTACTAGCACCTTCAGCCATAAAAAGGCCAGTGTTTCCCTGAAGAATTCATTTAGCTCAGTTGAAGGACACTGTGAAAACTCTCCAATGCCAGATACAAATTAAATTCTCTAAGAAGCTATTCAGAAGGTTAGGGTAAACACTGGCTCCATGTAGCAGGTTACAATGAGCCTTTCAGTCATGAATTATCCAGCCTTCCTGATACATGATAATATGTGAATAATAGATGGTGTGACTGTAGTTATGCCTACACCAGCGCTGTGTGGTGGGCCTGGAGCCCAGCGGAGAGGGAACCCATAAATGGATGACCTAATCTAAAAATGTGTTGCGTATGCCTACATGGCCCAGGCGCGGCCAGTTGCTGTTTTGTTTTTTTCCACACTGCTAGCTAGCCTAAATAAAGAGAATAAGCTTGTACCTCGCCAACAAAGTGGGGGGAGGGAGTTGAATAACTAGCGATTCATTTGGAACGAAGGGGGAAAAACACACACTCACGCAAACACACACAAAACCTGCATTATGATGTTCACGTGTGCAACGCTGCTGAGGCTATCAGGAAGATATTTACTGGATCATGCTGGAATGTTCTTATTCAAGTTAACGGTTAAAAAAAACAAGGGGGAGGGGTCGAAAGTAATGCTCAAGTGCGGAAGAACATGAGGGTACATGAAATATTTTTTATGAAAACAGGCTTCTTTCAGCAAGAGAGAGGGAGAGAGGAAATATAAAATGCACCAATACTGTGAGCACTGCAGCTGTGTAATACATCTATAAATAACTGAAATTACAGCCTGCCAGCACTGCAGTGATTTCAATCTCTCCAGCAGCACGTAGTCCCGTGAAAACGCTGGGAACCATTAAAGCCTGTGAAAAGGTAGAGTGAGCTTCATTTGGGCCGGATAGCTTTCCCTCGCTCTCATTTCCACATGTAGTGGTGACTGACAGGTTCAACTCATGGAGGGCACACACACATAAACACACTGTACATAAACCACAGCTTAGAGACAAGAGGGTGGGAAAGAGACGTATGGAAAGAGTAGACAGTGGGGGTGGGGAAAGGGAACAGAGTCTAGTGTGCCTTGATAAAGCTCTGAGCACAGGAAAGCAAGTGAGTTTGGAGGGGAGGAAAATAAAACAGCAATGAGTTCAAGATGGCGGCAGTGCAGCATGAGCCAGTAGCAGAGGAGGTTGTTCAGTTCCTGCCGGCCCCTCCTCCCTCCTCCTCCTCCCCCCTCGTCCCTCCTCCCTCTCAGAGCAGCTCACTTACCCTTCCTCTTGGCCTCTTCACTGTAGACATGGTGGGGTTTTTTTCTTCCTCTTTCCTCCCCCTCTCCAACCGGCTAACAAAAGCCTTGCCCTTTCGCAGGGTTTTTTCCTCCCTCAGTTTGCTTGCTTTCCCCCTCACAAACACACTCACACTCTTTCCCTTTTTCAACAGTCGTTTTCTCTCACTCTTGCTTGAGCTGTGAGTACCCCCCCCCCTCCCCTCCCTCTCCCTCTCTCTCTTTCTCTCGGCTCGTTTTGCCTCCCCTCCTCCTCCTCCCTCCCACGGTCAGCTCTTCTCCTCAGGCAGTGCGAGAGCGCCGGAGCTGGTCGTCTCCTCCTCCCCCAGCGGGCAGGGCTCAAGAGGAACGCATGGGAGCTCTCTCTCTCTCTCTCTCTCTCGCTCTCTCTCACCCTTGTTTGTCTCTTCACAGGGTGATGAGGGAGCAGCGCTGTGGGCGGTAGAGGAGGTGCGTGGCAGTCCAGGAAGCTCTCATTTCTGCCGCTGAGTGCCGCCTCGCTGTCGTCCGGCTTCACCGAGTCCCCCTCACTCACACTCTCTCTCTCTCTCTCGATGTGTGTGTGTGTCAGAGTTGCCGTCCCCTCTCATTGATTCCTCTTTCCGCCTGCCTTTCGTACGCTCTCTCTGAGCCTTCTCCCTCTTTATTTCTATTGCTCTTTCCGCTCTGCGTTTGCCTTTTCGTGGCGCCTCTCCTCGTTGTCCTTCACCGGCCAGGATAAGGTAGGTTACTCCTTTACATACCCACACCAAAAGGCTGTTGTGTTTAGCTTGCTTGCTGAGTTTCCCCGGTTGTTTTCTCCTTCTTTTCCCCCCCCCCACTTGTCTTTTCCTCGTTCCTCGCCCTGGCTGCCCTCCCCTCTCTCTGACTGGGGCGTGTGTGGCGAGCTGAGCGGCGGAAAATGAAAGCACAAAGCAGCAAAATGCATGAGCATGAATATTAGAGATGTCGTTAAAACCCAGACTCGTTTTTCCCTCTCTCTCTTTCTCTCTCGCGCTCTTGCTCACTCACTGGCTCTCTCTCTCTTTGTAAGGAAGTAGGCCAGCAGATGGTGCTAGCAGTTATTACATTAACTTTCACAACTTAACCCCCAAAGTACTGGATTTCGCACTCACAACAGATTGTCAAGATCGTAAGCTTCCCCCCCCCTTGTAGGTCACAGCCAATGACAATTTGTGGCACAGAAACAAATTCCCAAAGAATAAAAATGCATCCCTAATTCAAATCACACACAGTTGCCACCATATATAAATTAACACAAAATATAGCAGACTTTCCACCCCGACTGTCCCAGAAACATGCAGCCTCCTCTGCGCTGAGTCTCCAGGGCAGAGTTCAAGCACTTGTGGGGTCAAGGCCTGGTCACCATTCTATGAAAAAAAAAAAAAAAAAAAATTCCAATAGAGGAAACTGGGATGTGTCCAAGACATGCAGCTCTTCCTGTGCGCCAGGAGGAGCAAGCCAGCCATTGGAGGGGACTCCTGACCTCCTGATGCAGAGGCCATGTGCACCAGCTGGCACATGGTACTGGAAATGATGCAGAGACACAATGCTGGTCTGAAGCCAGGGGCAGTGCACATGGCACTAAAGGGTCAGGCCTGAGTAACTGACAGTTACGACCTTTGCATCTGTATGTTATGTGCAAAATCATCTGAACAGGCTTCACTCTCATACAACTGCACACATTAGACTATGAGCTGCCCAGTGTTAACAGGACTACTGTGAACATACTGTATTTAGGGCTAGGAAGGAGTAGTCTTTTGACAGCACATCTTTGAAACACATGTCAAAACATAAATCCTGACAGGTTAAGGGTACTACAGGGTAGTGGCATGAGGACAGCATTTTAAAAAGAAATATATATCTTCATTTTTTCAAATAAACGTATTTTTTGTAAAGTGTTATCTGTGTGCTTAAGAGCCAAGTGTCCAGGTTAAAGGGCAATCTTGTGTTATGTAATGTTTTTTCTTTTAATTATTTGTTCTTGTTCCATTGTGCTCCATCTCAGCTCAAAGCAATCTACACTACTTCTTGTGATTTGATTTAAAAATATATGTGTGAAATATGTGGGTGAGCTTGTGTATGCTACAATATGGCTTTATATTGCATGTTAAACTGTTTGCAACTGACCAACTGGAATGGTGTAGACCGTCTTATTCAAAATGTGTGAGTGTGACACTGGCAGTGGATTTATCTCACTATATCTATGGTTTGTGTTTTACATTTTACAGCTGTATATCTCCTCCACAGACAGACAACTGTGTGTGTGAACAACAATGGCCGTCCTCTCATCAGATCCACCCACCATCCCCCTGCCAGGCCTTGGAGTTTGAACTTAAAAAAACAGACTTCACGTTCGCAGAGAGCCGGGCAACAGAGTCCTCTCTGCTAAACAAATCAACTGTCAGATAATGTCCACAAGAACACACAGAGCCTGGGAGTGTGCTTTGACTACAAACATGACATGAAATTAGCTCACAACAACTGGATAGAAAAGAAATATCTACCAAACTGACAAAAAATAAAGACATCAAATCTGTGTCCAAACTTCATCTGCCTATGTGTACTGACCTATACAACTTGTTGCACTTGCAGTAATGCAAAATGGATAAATCAGCCACACTTGGCACCGAGCAGCAATTGCAACGTACCATTCAAATATATCTCTGTCAACATAAATCATTGCAACAGCTACAATACTAAATAAATATGGGCACGATATGAAAGTCTGAATAACATCTCATTTAAAACACAGAAAGAATACCCCACGTGGCTGTTTGTAACAATCAAACATTGTTTCTTGACTGTCAACGTTTGTTTGTGTCAAATCAAAAGCAAAGGACAAATGAAAAGAGAATAACAGTCAACACACACATGCTTCAAAACAGTCACATGGAATGAAGCCACTGCTACCCGGCCACTAAACAGTTAATATGCAAACAAGCCTGG